TTTTTGTAGGACACACTATTTTCAGTCATCCACTTCGGACTAATGCTCACATGAGCAACAAACAATACCGTCCTGTATTCCTTGACACAGACAAAGTCTGAAATTCACTAATCCGACTCTAATCACAAGCTTCTGGTGTGTGATCATTTCCTGGAGAGCATATGAGCAAGAAACCAAATCAGAAATGAACAGATTCGATTCCATTGAGTTAGCTTTCATGGAAAAGCTCAGACGTGTTGGGTTTGGAATGCCGGCCTACATGAATAAACCCTAGGAGTTCATATGGAGTCCAGAGAGCGCCCGCTCTGCTCTTTCTAGGAATAGCTGGGGCTTGGCGTTGCGACACATGACCAATTCGAGCACCACAAACTAAAGCTTTTATTAGAATAGGTGAAAGAGCTGACTGCTGGCATTAAGGTTAGTACTTGAATGTGGTGAAGCATAACAGCATTTAGCTACAGTTATACAGACGTCAATGGAAATTCCCCACAAAGACAGAAATACACATTTGTGTACGGGTAGAGGAATCAGGGCCGTATCACGCGGCTGTACAGTAGTTAAGAGATAAGAGTGTCACCTACTGAACAGTGAAGCTTTTTGAAAGAGAAATTTCACAATTTAAAACAATTTCAATAGCTTTTGCTGCGATAAGCGGTTTTGCGTCATAGGCCTACAAAACAAAAATGAATTTCGTCATCACAACAAGTTCATCTGAACTCAGAGATGGGAATTTGTGTTGTTGACCAACAGCATGATTGATTTAGCTACACTGAGCTTTGAACGGGTTTGGCTTCATAAAGATTAAAAAAAAAAAAATCCAAAAATGTGTTATCTGGAGAGGAAATTACAGCAGTTCATGTATAACTAGTTACTCATCTATTAACTGAGCCAGTTTATAGATGAGTTGAGGAATTTTAACTCAATTCTGCATATTTTGGTCAGTCTTGTTCATTTTACAGAAACAGACACGAACTACAGTTTTTATTATGTGATGGCGGATTAAGCCTGCGAGGTAATTTGATAAGAGTGTGTGAAGGGAGAGCAGGTTTGCAGCTGGACTACACACACACACACACACACACACCCGTGGGAACACACTAAAACCCACAATCTCACAGGAACTGTGTGTGTGAGACAGCGAGAGGTCCTGTGGACAAAACAATATAACAATACAATATCAGAGAGAGAGCGAGAGCGAGAGAGAGAGAGAGAGAGAGAGAGAGAGAGAGAGAGAGAGCAATAACGAGCAAATAAGAAAGAGAGCGTGTGTGTGAGTGTGTGTATGAGAGAGAGAGAGCGAGAGCTAGAGACAGAGTGTGATACAGAAAGAGAGAATGAGAGAGAGAGAGAGAGAGGGAGAAAGAATGAGGGACAGAGAGAGAGAGAGTGTGTGTGAGAGAGAGAACGTGCAAAAACGAGTGAATAAAAGTGAGACAGTGTGATAGAGAAAGAGGGAGAAAGAGCAAAAAAGTGAATGAGAGAGAGTGTGTGAGAGAGAGGGAGAGAGCAAAAAACGAGTGAATGAGAGAGAGTGAGAGAGAGAGAGAGAGAGAGAGCAAAAAAGAGTGAATAAGAATGTGAGTGTGTGTGAGAGAGACCGTGTGATAGTGAGAGGGAGAGAGAGCAAAAAAAGTGAATGAGAGAGAGTGTGTGAGAGGGAGTGAGACAGAGAGCAAAAAACGAGTGAATGAGAGAGAGTGTGAGAGATAGAGAGAAAGAGAGAAAGAGAATGAAGGAGAGAGAGAGTGTGTGTGAGAGAGAGTGTGAGAGAGAGAATGAGGGAGAGAGCAGAAACGAGTGCATGAGAAAGCGTGTGAGAGAGAGTGAGAGAGAGAGCAAAAAGCAAGTGAATATGAGTGAGACAGAGAGAAAGAATGAGGGAGAGAGAGAGTGTGTGTGTGTGAGAGAGAGAGAATGAGAGAGAGAGCAAAAACGAGTGCATGAGAAAGTGTGTGAGAGAGAGTGAGAGAGAAAGAAAAATGAGTGAATGAGAGTGTGAGAGTGAGAAAGAGAGAAAGAATGAGGGAGAGAGAGGGTGTGTGTGTGAGAGAGTGTGAGAGAGAAAGAATGAGAGAGAGAATGAGAGAGAGCAAAAACGAGTGCATGAGAAAGTGTGTGAGAGAGAGTGAGAGAGAAAGAAAAATGTGTGAATGAGAGTGTGAGAGAGTGAGAAAGAGAGAAAGAATGAGGGAGAGAGAGGGTGTGTGTGTGAGAGAGTGTGAGAGAGAAAGAATGAGATAGAGAATGAGAGAGAGCAAAAACGAGTGCATGAGAAAGTGTGTGAGAGTGAGAGAGAAAGAAAAATGAGTGAATGAGAGTGTGAGAGAGTGAGAAAGAGAGAAAGAATGAGGGAGAGAGAGGGTGTGTGTGTGAGAGAGTGTGAGAGAGAAAGAATGAGAGAGAGAATGAGGGAGAGCAAAAACGAGTGCATGAGAAAGTGTGTGAGAGAGAGTGAGAGAGAAAAAACGAGTGCATGAGAAAGTGTGTGAGAGAGAGTGAGAGAGAGAGAAAAACGAGTGCATGAGAAAGTGTGTGAGAGTGCAAAAAACAAATGAATAAGAAAGTGAGAGTGTGTGTGAGTGTGGGAGAGAGAGAGAGGGAGAGAGCAAAAATGAGTGGATGAGAGAAAGAATGAGAGAAAGAGAGCGAGAGAGTGTGTGTGTAAAAGAGAGAATGAGAAGAGAGAGCAAGAAAGTGAGAGAGAGAGAGTATAAAAGAGAGAATGAGAGAGAGAGAGAGAGAGAGAGAGAGAGAGAGAGAGAGTGTGTGCGTAAAAGAGAGAATGAGAGAGAGAGAGAGAGGGAGAAAGAGAGAGAGATTGTGTGTGTGTAAGAGAGAGTGAGAGAGAGAGAGAGATAGTGTGTGTAAAAGAGAGAATGAGAGAGAGAGCGAGAAAGAGAGAGATTGTGTGTGTAAAAGAGAGAAAGAGAGAGTGAGAGAGAACGAGAAAGAGAGATAGAGAGTGTGTGTAAAAGAGAGAAAGAGAGTGAGAGAAAGAGAACGAGAAAGAGAGAGTGTGTGTGTGTGTAAAAGAGAGAATGAGAGAGAGAGCGAGAAAGAGAGAGAGAGAGAGAGAGAGAGAGAGAGAGTATGTGTAGAAGAGAGAGAAAGTGTGTAAAAGAGAGAAAGAGAGAGTGACAGTGAGTCTGAACAGTTCTCAGCTCTGGTGTTATATGGACTTGTGTAATCACACTGTCAGGGAAGGTGACTGAGCTCTACTGAGCGCGTGCAGGAACGGCCCGCTCAGTCGTTAATGCACGATCTGTGTGACCAGTTTGATACTCGTCTCATTAACGACGACCAGAAACACCACAAACCCAACACACACGCATGCGTACACACCTTCACTAAACACTCACTGAACAGCAGAGAGACTCACAGCGCTGTGTGGGCGTGGTGGAGGACACACGGGTCAGTCTGGTGGGGCATGTCAGGACTTGTTCATTGTTTGTTCCGTGCAGATGGATTTCTGGTTATGGTTACAGATCTCTTTGGATACGCTGCTTAATTTAGATGTGTGGCTGATTAGACTGTATTAGGGTCTGACCAAGATCAGCTGATACCCTGAAGGAGTAGGAATCTGATAAAGAGAGCTGGATTTTAGCTCAGTAATCAGATTTCTCAGTGCATGTGAACTCTTACTCTGATTTCTTTCGGTTTTCCCAGTCTGAGCATATGTGAGAACAGACGGTGATACCAGAAATAAGTGAGCAGCGTCGCCACAAGACACAGCAAAACACATTTGGAGCGACGCTGAAACTGACCACATGCTTGGCGAAATGAAGGCTTCATCTTCTAGATGATGTATGTTCATATTTTCAGGTAAAGTGGTGCAATGTTTAAAAAAAAAAGTTGCGGCATGAAGTTTGTGTTTTACATTACGTTTACGTCACGTCTTCTTTGAGTTTATTGGCCAGTTGCAAAGCAGAAATCAGATTACTGCCGGACTCATGTAGACCTGGAATTTCCCCCCTTATCTCATTAGTCAAGTGCATGTAAACATGTTGACTGGATTACTGACAAAATCTGATCTTCTGCAGTTATCAGATTATTAAGTGCATGTAAACAAACTCAGTGATAATATGCAGAAACAGAAATTATTATAATAAAATCATTTAAGGGGTGCTTTTGTGAAAGGGGAATTCCACCACTTTTTCACTTTCTCTGCATGATTAAACGGTTCAGATATAATCAAATTAATTGGTTGTGGTTTAATGTGAGACGCTCTGTTCTAGGGAAACTTCCAGAAGAGTGGTGATAGCATCTGAAGCATTTAATGTCATAAACTGCCTAAAACATTGTTTGACGATAGTTTTGATAAGGTTTTGGCCTTTTCTGCATATTTAATTCTGGCAGGGTGTTGACAGAATTAAAAAAATATATATTTTCTAACGTTTAACATGATCTTACTGTCAGCAACATTACATACAAAAACTCAGAAGACACCTGTAAGTTAACTGGACATTCTGGATAGTAAATAAAATGGCTATAACTGCGTTGTAGACACTGTGACCCCTGGTTCTTTTCACCTCCACTGTAAAGAAATCTGAGCCAGTCATTTTCTCTACAATAAACATTTTTTTCTCTACATTTCACATTAAACCACTCTGAATGACTTTGTTTACATCTTAACAACTGATCTCTCCAGAAAGGGGTGGAATTCCCTTTAAGTGGAAAAGATAATGTACTTTAAATGTGTTTTTGTTATTTTCGCTCAGGTTACTCACCTTATCCTAAACTTGAGGTCTAAAGTTATTTATATTACTTATCTTACTTATGACTGGATGTTTCTGCTCTTTATTTGAGTGTATCTGACAACTGAGAATTGAATCATATTTGGCAATCTACAGTCACATCAAGCAATAAAGCACTGTTTAACTAAAACTGTCAGAGTTTAATTTTAGACCACATTAAATTGGCTGATATTACTGGCAGAATCTGAATTCTCCAGTATCAGTATGAGCGAGACCCTGTGTGTGTGAAAGAGTAGATGTGCTCACCAGGTCTCGGTGCAGGACCCAGTTGGCGTGGAGGTAATGGATGCCGTCCAGGATCTGGTAGAGCAGTGACTTGACCATGCCTCTGGGCAGCTGCATCGGTTTCTTATTGGCCTTGGACGCCCGGTGGAACTTTATTATGTGCTACAACACACAACAGCATTAACGGGGTCATTCTCACAAAACTAGCTCCAAATTCAAACCCGGGAATTATTTGGTAACTTTCACTTGGAAATGTTTAGATCTAGGGTGTTACTAAGCGGTTGCTGTGGTATCCCAAATGGTTGCTAAGGTGTTGCAGGGTAGTTGCTTTGGTGTCCCAGTTGGTTGCTAGGGTGTTGCTAGGTGGTTGACTATAGTATCCCAAGCGGTTGATAGGGTGCTGCTAGGTGGGTGTTATGGTATGACCATGTGATTGCTAGGTTGTTGCTAAATGGGTGCTATGGTATCCCAGGCGTTTGCTATTGGGATTACTAGGTGGCTGCTGGTGAAAAAAGAATTGAAGCAAGTTTTTTATTATACATTGTCGACTTTAAATCTCATTATATTACACTTGATATTTGACCATGTAACTGTAAATTTTTTTAAATGAGTGGAGAGACAGACACAATTTAGTGTATATCTGTACTGACGGTAATTGACAACTTATAGTGGTCTACAATTAGTGATTTTTGATGAGATTTTCGAGATATCGACACCATTCCATCTCTAGAATGTTCAGTCTGATCGGGAATGGTGTGCTTGTATATGGCTTTTTGATCAGATGTATGATTTTAGTACAAACATTGTTAAGTAACCCTTTTTTCCCAATAGGAATTAAGGAGTGGCAAGGTTTGTGCACCCAGTTTACATTACGGTGATAAAAGTCCATTAGCGACACCCTATTAACCATGGGGGTGTTATCATAGCAACCACCAGCAGCCACCTAGCAACCCCAATAGCCGTCACCTGGGACACCACAGCAACACCCAAGCAACCGCTTGGGATATAATAGCAACCCTCTAGCAACACCCCAGCAACCAACTGGAACACCACAGTAACTACCTTGCAACACTTTAGTAACCATCTAGGATATCACAGCAAGCACCTAGCAACACCCTAGCAACCATGTAAGATACCATAGCAACCCCCTTAGCAACACGCTTGCTTTAAACATTTCTAGGTGAAAGTTTAGTGATGTGTTCATAAAACAAAATAACAAAAAGTATAAAAGTAAAAAGCTGTTACACACTTAAAAAAGATGGTTATTCAAAGATTCCTGAGTAAAGACAATGGTTCTATTTAGAACCAGGAGTCCTATATAGAACTATTTCACGCTTAAATGGTTCTTTGCATGGTAAAATAATACTTCAGATTGATGGAGAATGTGTTGTATATGGTTCTATATAGACACTTTTTGAAAATGGTTCTATAAAGCACCAAAAAAGTTTCTTGTAATGTTACAAGCTTGACATCGTAACGATGGCAGAACCCTTTTTTGGTACCATAGAACTTTTGGTTCTAAATAAAACGATTGCCTTTACTAAATCACCCTTGAAGAACCCGTTTTTAGGTGTATACAGCTTGCCTACTAAATTGGCAGAAGGGCATTCTTAATAATATAATCAGTTGCTATTAATTGGGTAAGGCTCTGTAATTTTCATGTGCAGTACTCTGTGTGATAATGTCAATTATTTTTTGATAATTCTGCAGACGATAATCATTAGTCTACGACCTCATCCAAGCTTTGTGTGTGTACTCACCCATAGGTCGTGTTCGGCGTAGTCAAAGAGAAGCCACACTTTGCGGTCGCTGTGGGACAGAAACACTTTCTGCAGGGCGATGACGTTCGGGTGCTTCAGCTCCCTCAGCAACTACAACACAAACACAAACACCCACATGTTATTCCTTAACACTTATCAAACCCTGAGTGGCACAACCGTTTAAGTATTGACCCAATTGCTGGGAGATTGCAAGTTCAGTCCCTGGCGATGCCACAGCCATCCATATCTGGATGTGTAGGATGGTCCTCCCGCTCCCCCCATCTTTCAGCTCAATGGTAGTCGTCAGACATTCGTGCTCTCCACCAAGCGTGTTGAGCTGTCCAATTCTGCTGCATTAGCAGATTGACATATTGCTGTTTAGTTTTCAGTGTTTTTGGTGACAGAGATACAGATCAAAAATTGTTCTCAGCGGACGGAATTCAGATATCTGATGGGTTGTTTCCATTGTTTTTAATACAAATTGTACCAAAATTTACCATTATTTCTTAATTCTTGACATCATATATAAACTTATAAATGCCACATGAAGTTTACTGGTCATTTTCGATATATAAAGTGGCTGCATTCGTGTTGTAGACATCGTGACACCTGGTTCCTACCACCATCACTGTAGAGGTATTGACAAGTTTCTCTACAATGAACCATCTCCTGATTGACTCTCTGAAAGACATTATATCGCAATAATATAATTATGCAGGAATTTGGAAAAAAAAGAGTGGAATTCCCCTTTAACATACCTGACTATCCCCTTTAAACATACTGACTACACTTGATTCCCTTTAACATATTTCAGTATTTTTTGTTTATTATTATTATTTTGTGGCTTAGCATGTCCCCTCACTGTTAATGTGGATTTCTGAACCTGTAACAGTACTGCAGAGGGGCTTACGTAACACTGTATTGAACACACACACACACACACACACACACACACACACACACATACTGAACTCCCCACGCTGCAGGATCAATGCTGCTGTGTCTCCAGCTCAGTAAAGCTGCGCTCTCAGTGAAACTGATCTGATCCCTCTGCATTATTCAGCACTTCCAGCTAAAGAGATTACAGCAAAAACACTGACCTCAGGTCAGCTCACACACACACAGTCCTTCAAAAACTGACTTCAGGGCAGCTCATACACCAACCTCTACAGGCCACACCAGACACAACCTACTCATAACCTGATAATGGCAAACATTAAGCCTGGCTCCTCGCTTTGTAGTATAACTAGAGGCTAGCAGTGCTGACCTACGAGACCAACAAAGTGATCCTGACCTTTTAAAGAGCACGTTTCAGTTTTTAAAAGCCCCCCCGCATTTAAAAATGTGCTTTTTTAATGGTTAATCATAGGCAGTAAATAGATATCACGTTTTTCCATTAAAAACACAGACTTTCCCAGTAGATTTGAAAAGCAGCGTACTACTTAGCAGCGTAGTAGACGGACCTTGAAACTATCATGGTCCAATATGCTTAAACATCATAGGGAGAGGATGTGCCAGGTGATTCTAGGTATTGATAAGAGCCATGGGAAGCATCTTGAGCCTGAGTAACTGATGCCAAACTAGCCTCAGTTGGCTCTCGTTAAGGGCAGCACAAACACCTGAGAACTGAGGTAAGTTTACTCAAATCTGAGCGAGCGAAGCTGAGGGACTGAGGCCGCAGTGACAGACAGAATCTTTCTGATTATTAATGTTACAGTGGAAGCTTATTTTTGTTTCTGCTCTCGGATATAGAGGCAGGGTAGGTGGGGGAAGGGGCAGGGTTTAGATACTTAAATATGGGGTAGCAAGAGGGCATTTACAATTTGCATAATCGTGCATATTCATAGAGCTTCGCCTTCTTAATGAGTGTTGAGGTTTAAGGATGCTCCTATGATATTTTTAGTCGTTTCTTGCACGTAACAATAATACATAAAAATATTTAATAATGAAAGTACATTTAATATATAAGCAATATTGTTATTATTACATACAGGTACTTACATCCATATATAATACATACGGGACATACATGTAGGTACCTACATATGTATATACGGGACATATCAGTAGATGAATATGCTTGTATGTGTTTATATGTATCGCTGCTGTCGGACCAAAACCTTGTATCGTTTTTCAGTTTTTGACATAATTTGAAAATGCCTGCTGTCCTTTATATTGTGTGCAAATCTCATGATTAATGGACCAAAAGAAACAGCCCAAAATTACTGGTTCCACTGACTTACATTAAAAGTAAAGTACGTTTTTTCCTTTCCTGGAAAGTTACCATTTGGGAGATACGAGGTTTTGGTCAGACAGCAGCGATATACTGTACATAAGGGACATATGTATGGGCCCATATTCTGACACTGTATAAAAACAAGTGTGTGTATGTGTCTGTGTGTAAATCCAGGGGATCTGGAGTACAACAGCCACTGGATTTAACAGCAATTGGGCCACATACTAACCTCAATAATCTCTCTCTCTTCCTCTTCTCCTCTCTCTTTCTGTTTCTCTCCCACTTTCATCCCTGCTCTCTCCTTCACGCACACGCTGTCTTTGTGTCTCAGCCCGAATCAAACGGTGACACTAAACAGCCTCACAGTGGCACAATAATCTAATCCAAGGACTGTGTTCATTCGCAACAGTGCATTAGCTCGGTATGCACTGTTAGTCCTAGCATTATAACATTGACTGACGTTCAGTGTGTGTCAGCAGAATTACTGACACCACACACACACACAAACACTCAGCGCGGACAAACTGAACCAAAAATATGAGACTAACTAGGTAGAATGTGGAAAAGGAGAGACAGAGAGAGAGACAGAGAGAGAGAGAGAGAGAGACAGAGAGAGAGAGAGAGAGAGAGAACCACAGAGAATAAGATGGCTGGCGTCCCAGGGGAAATTCACCATGCTGAGAGTGTGACTCAGCGCAGGACATGCACACATTCAGACACACACAAATGTAAACACTCAGAAGGCTTCAAACGGCCTAATCCATAAACATGAAGCACCTCCAGCTCTTCCTGGTTCTGACTGTCAGAAAAGGACAGAGTAATGAAAGTGTCCTCCTTACTGCTCCAACGTAAAATAGGTTAGAAGTAAAATGGACCATTTTTTTGGTGAAACCAAGCATGTCAGTACATTATTAGCTGAATTCTACTACTGATCGCCCTAGGGTCTGCCTTACTGGCTGCCTTACTGCCTTACAAACTGCACTTCTGATAGTTTTACTGCCTTATTGCCTTCGTTACTGATATACTGACTGCTTCACTGACCATCTCACTGACTGCCTTACTGCCTAACAGGTATACTGACTGTCCTACTGGGAGTCATATCGCCTTACAGGTTTAATGACCATCTTCCTGGCTCACCTTCTGCTTTACGGAGAGTCCTATTGCCTTACAGGTTTAGTGATTGCCTTATTGATTGCTTACTGACTATCTTACTGGCTCACTGTCTGCTTTACTGATTGCCTTTCTAAGAGTCCTACCGCCTTATATGGTTACTGATTACCTTGCTGCCTTACTGACTTATAAACTGCATTATGTTAACTGCATTGTTATACTGGCTTATTGACTTTCTTACTGCCTTACTGAATTGACTCAATAAATGTGTAATGTGTGTCTTATTGCCTTACTGACTGACCTTCTAACTGTCTCACTGGTTTCCAGACTGCCCCACTGACTACTTAACTGCCTGCCTTAATGTTTTACTGACTGCCTTACAACTACACTGACTTTCTCACTGCCTTACTGTCTGGATTTCTGTCTAACTGCTAGTCTTACTGCCTTACTGACTGCTTTACTGCCTTACAGACTGCCTTACTGACTGATTTGCTAACTGGTTTATTCCTTTATTCCTTTATTGATTTTTATCAATAAAGGAATTTTATTCTTACTTCCTTGTTGACTGGTTTGCTGAGTGTATCACTGAGGGCCTTACTGAGAGTCCTACTGCCTTACAGGTTTAGTGACTGCCTTACTGACTTATAAACCACATTAACTTATTTACTGCTTTACTGTTTTACAGTCTTGTTGACTTTTTTTACACCCTTACAGCCTGAATTACTGTCTAACTGCCAGCCTTACTGGCTGTCCTACAACTGCCTTACTGGTTTACTGACTGCCCTACTGACTGATTTACTGCATGTCTTACTGCCTAACTGACTGCTTTACTGCCTTTCTGTCTGCTTTACTGCCTTACTGATTGCTTTACAGCCTTATAGACTGCCTCACTGGCAGATTTGCTAACTGTCTTCTTACTGCCTTGTTGACTGGTTTGCTGTCTTACTGAATGCCTTAATGACTGCCTTACTGTCAGTACCTTACCAACTGTCTTACAACCTTATTGACAATCTATTTGCATCAATAGCTAGCTCATACGAGAGGGTATGACTACGGCAATGCTTTATTAATCAGCTCCTGAAAAAGCCTATTCACTATTAACAACAGCCAATATCCAATTAACAGAACAATGGTGTCACTAACTCAGAAAGCCCCGCTAGGCAAAATCTGTTGAGATAGATGGTGATGCGCTGTTAGTCCTTAAGGTTGTGAACTGATTCCAATGTGCTATTTTGAACTGAGGTGATTAACATGTATGTATGTATATATATATATATATATATATATACATATATATATATATATATACATATATGTGTGTGTGTGTGTGTGTGTGTGTGTATGTTGACATATGGCTGAAATATATGTCCCATACTTGAAAATGGCCATATGTGACAAATGCAAGATGGACATATAATCCATATATGCCAATATATGTCATTTATTTGAAATTTATATTGCAACATATCAGATTTTCACATGGGCTTGATAGCTTGTTGGCTTCCTCCCAAGCAGAGGCTTTGCCAAACCCAGGGACCGGTCTGCAAGGCTGTAGCTAGATACTACCGGCTAATGTGGCATATGCCGTTTTTATATCTATGGGTGGGCACTAGCTCTGTGACTGATCGCCTGTAGTTGTTCATTGGAACTGGGGCACTGCTGCTGCTACGGGTTCTGGTTTCACAGTACGTTTTTTTTTTTGTTCGGCTCAAGAAATGGGTCAGGCATTTGCAACCGTGGCTGGCTCGGGTCCAAACATCCACAG